GAGATCGCACGGAGGTCACGAAGAACAGATTCATGTTTTGCACATCTCCACCTCTGCAGCTCAACTTGTAGAGTTCTGGAGTTCCGGCGTGCCTAAACCAGTGCTTGCCCGTTACAACAACCATTGTTCTATGAAGGATTTCTTGCACTAAAAGCAGGTCCACTATGTTTTTCTCTACATGGCCTTGGAAGGCATCTATCTATGGAAAGGTGACTCCATGCCATGAATCAAGTTATTGAAAGACAGACCCAGAGTTCTTTGAGATCAAGACAAGTTGCAGTCCACAGACTGTCTGGGAGAATGAAAGCCGTCGACACTCCCAACATCAGCCAAGAGATTTTCCAGGTGCAGCGTGCAGCGAAGGGCTCGGGCCGCTCGGGTGGTTTTCCAACCTTCTCCGCCCCTTTCTTTCCATCCCTCGTTGACCCTCGACTGATTCATCGCGTCGCGTTCGCGTTGGAAGCCCACACGGAGTTCGAAGAACGCCGAGCCCAGGAGCCGCGGTGCGCGAATGCCGATGCTATGCAGTGAGCTTGTGAAGCGGCGAGTCCGGTCGAAAGCCGGCGACGACCGTGATCCGGTCGGCCAACGAGCCCGGTCAGCACGGAGACATGTTTTGGGGCCATACGGCCCAGCTTCCTTTCATCTCACGAGTCCTCCCAGCTAAGGAAAGTCATTGAGGGGAAGGTATTGTAATAGACCTGTGCTAAGACATGGCTCGCAGGTTTTCGGGTCGATTCTTAGTGCTTGTTTTCCGCCCGCTGGGCTTCCACGCCGCTGCGTGGGGGCCACGAGTGGAGGTGTTCGGACCGGTCGACCCGCCACGTGACCCGGCGGGTCGTGTTCGACCGCCGAAGTCCAGGTCTTTCAACACAGCCTGCCTAGATGTTTTACCTCACAAAAGGAGAAACACCTCTAGAAATCTTAAGAATGTCTCAGGGTTTTGGGTGTGCTATCCAATGCGACCATCTCAGGAGAAAGAAGACCTTTTTTGGCATTTTTCGGTTGATCCCTTAGTTAATGGACACCCTAGCCCTAGTCATGCTATTGAGAAGGTCCCATTGGGGTGTCAAATCAAACAGCTTTCCAATGACTAGGACTAGGAGCTTGGGAATTCTCGACGTGCGACAATGACATGAGTCCGGTATCCGGTATCTGTTCTTTTCTTTGGGGGGTTGCGTTTGGATCAAGAACGGGAGCGTCCAAAGTTAATCCAGAGAGGGTCTTCAAGTGCATTGGACATCGTTTCATTAGCTTGGAAATTAGTCTTATGCCTCAATCCATTTTTGGCAGGATTTGGCAGGGTGTTTTGGCTAAAGAGACATGGTCAGATAAGGTGATTGCAAGTCCTCTTTTTTTGGCCAGATTTGGAACCGCCGAGTTGTGCAGAGTCTCGTTGACTTGCTTGCGGCACAACAGCAGCCCTTTCAACATGCGCATGAAAGCGGAACTGGGCCGATCGACTCGACTGACTCGACTCATCTCTCGGCATGGTGTGTTTCTACTTGTATGGTAGAGCCCCCAGCCCCGCGGATAGAACCACTTTGACTTGGAGAGTCCAATTTCCCATCTATTCGGTTGACAGTGCAGTGTTTAGGGGGCTTAGGCAGCTGCTTCCTGATCGGGTCACGTGGCTGGACAAAGCTACGCTACTGGCACCCATTGGAAAAGCGCCAGGTATGCTCATTCAATTCTGCCTTCACTTCTTTGTGGGATGAAATGAACCATAGCCGCCATGGGAGCTGTAGATGAGGATCAGTCAGAGCAGCCATCCCTGCTTGATTGTCCCGGGAAATCTGGAGAGCAAACCAATCTACCTTCGGTTCCCTTCGGTTAAGTTTTCATGCGCAAAAGGGCCCAATGCCCTCTATGTTTAGTCGCTGACTCGCCTTTGGAAAAGGTGCGGCGAAACGGACGCCCGAGCGTGGACAGCTTTGGAGAAGCACGCCTCTCGATGGTCCAACTGTGCATGGCCAGAGGCCTGTGATTTCCTTTCAGGATGGGTTGCGTCTCAGACTATTCTCCTTCAAGGACGGCATTATTGACAGGCTTAACGCATGGATACCAATGTGTACACATAGCACCGACACATCATTAGAATCATTAGACATAAGACTGATAAGATATGTGTCATTCTGTGACATTTGCTGCGGCCCCTTCAGACCAACCCATATTTCTTGGAGTTTCTGCAGCCATGCATGGTTTTCCCTGGCCATGGTCCCTTTGGGATTGTCACCGGCAAGCACAGACAATGAGTAGAGTAGATAGCACCAGCCTTTGGAGTAGATTTCATGAGAGGGACTTAGCACCAGTCCACACTCCGACTGACTAGGCCCTGAAAGACCATTTTGCTCCACGAAAAGGGAGCTTTCCACTTCCATGTGATGTTTTGTTTTTTGTCGAAGAGTAACGAGTGAATGACCCCTATGTGTCCGAGCACCCTTGTGGAAAACCATGTGTGACGTTTGACTTTTCCAGCCGCAGAAATCTGCGGAGTTTCCCAGAATCGCATGTCGAGAAATTCAGAGGGGGGACGATGAAAAACAATGGCTGACGAAAGGAAGAACCAGTGAGCATTCTGGTCGAGACTTTAGCCAAGTTTTTGTGTGTCAGAGTTGAGATGTGCAAATGTGTAGCAAAGATGGCTGTGATTTGTTTTGTAGACGTGTGACCATGTGCTCTCCAAGTACAATTTTCAGCCTGCCGCCGGGGACGACTTCATGCTCGTCGTGTTCGCCCCTGATCTAAGACGGGTCATTTTCAGAGATTTCCCATCAGGACCCGACGGGTTCTGATTGCTTTGACCATCCTCCATGAGAGTGTTCTGACGGCTCGTTAGCTACACTCAAAGAAGATGCTGAGGTTGCTGGTGATGTTGATCCGTGTGGTTCAAACAATGGATGCTCTGCACTGTGCACCCTTCCGGGTACATGTATGGGATTTTGTGACAGATCATCAGCATCTTTTTTTTTTTTGGTCTTTTCCACCTTGAGATGGCTCATTCAGATTACCCCTCTGTTTAACCTGATCTGATAGTTGGGCATGGTTGCCTTCTGTGTGCTGACGGGGTCCTTCTGTCTTGAATGAGCCACGTTTTCTGCGCTTGGATAGCGCACAACCTTCATCGACTTGGACGCTTGCTGGGGATGGCGCGCAAGCCCAGCACTCGACATTACTATCAAGCGCAAAAACGTCCGTGCTTTGGTGGAGATTGAGGGGCGGCGCGACATGTGTGCCGCCAAAGAAACTCTTTACTGGCCCTGGTGGTAAGAAGAGGTAGCGAGTTTCTCAGTGGACGATGTTTGGGAGAGACCAAGAGGGTTTGTGCCTTCCATCCTGCCAGCCAGAAGGCATGCCCGTACGCTGAGCCCGGTTCCACGTTTTCTAATAGGTTGCAGTAGGCGCAGAGAGTGGAAGGGGTTGTGGTTCTAGCAGCTGGTTGCTGGTCCATATCTGCAAGCCTCGGGGAGATGAAGAACAGGTTCTGCACCTGCAGAACGGTGTACAGTGAGTGATACAGCAAGAACCCCTTTCGATGTCCAGGTCTTAGGCACCTGATCAAGTAGGCACAAGTAGGTGGCACCTCCAAGTCGCCCCCCCAAAAAACCCCACCCGCGCGTGTGAGGCCATCCAGGACATACAGAATTGATTTGCACGGAGGTCCGGTGCCTTGGACCCCTCGAGCCTCCGCCCGCTGGAACACTCGGAGAGAAGGCACCGGTGCAGAGGGGTCATGTTCCAAGACTCGACCGAAGAGGAAAAGGTCCAGGAGAAGAGAGAGGGAGAGAGTAGATTGAGTTGTCCCTCTCCTCGTGGTGAAGCGATTCAGACACCCCGTTGGCATGAGTCCGATTTTGCCAAGCCGTGGCTGAGGTTTGGTGTAGATACTTGTATATATGGTGTACATACTGCGAGGCCTGAGGCCAGTCCAATTCACGCGGCGCGTTCGGCGGCACTCCCCTGAAGCGGGGAAGCGCCATGGGGTTCTTGCCCCTCGAATGGAGGGGCAGTCAGCGTTTTTAGAGAACGGAGGAGGGCCAGTCTAGGAGTGTGGTGTGCGTTTGCTTCGACGGTAGTAAGGCAGTGTGAAATTCCAGGCCAGGGTCGTGGAGTTCAAGCTGCCAAAAAACTTGTTCAAGAGTGGTCACCCCCAAGAACCCCGTGCCAAAACATGGAAACAACGGGCAACATAGAGTTTTGCGCAACTAAAGGCGGGGGCACCTGTTTAATTTTGCAGTCCTTGACTTGGCCACTCGCCTGAAACACCAGCAGGGGAAGGGGATCCGACCCGTGATCGGTGTGGTGTGTGCCAGCACGTTGCGAGGATCCAACTTGCTGGGTAGCCAATCTTCGCGCCATCATGACTTACGGGTCTTCAGGTGCCGGATCTTCCCAACAAACAGGCACTTGGCCCGCTGAATTGGAGGAAGCTAGGGATGGCTAGGGTTCAGTTCGGCCCCCTGTAACATCCATTCGAAGAAAAGCTCTTGGGGAGTTTTCTAGACAGGTTTTGCGCGGACTCCTCAAAGAAGTGTTGGCGCCACTGTCGTTGGGCCCCTTCCCGACTGCGCCAGGGTCCAACCCCCCAGCGTTTTAAGCCTGGGGCGTCGACCAAAGCACCTGGCCCTCGGTGTGCAAAAACCGGATCTGGCAGGGGGGTGTTTGGGATGATTGGACCATTTGGCTTCTTGCTCAACTTGGCTCCTACTTGAGAGGAGGCCATTTTCATTCGGAAATCGGTCTAGCCTAGCAACTCACGTTGCCATCTTGCCATCTTGGGAGCTCATAGGGCTGGAGGTCAAGTCGGAAGAGTTGCCGTCGACTTTGAGTCTTCTGTTGGGACGCGATCATGGCGCCCGCTTTGAGGCAAGTCCACAAGGGGAAATGGAGTACTCATATCACCTACGCATGGAACTGAATCAACGCTTGTTCAGACGGCTTGCGATTCCTTTGAGAACTCGGCCCATCCGAGAACAGTGTCCATCCATGGCTTCCTCCAGGAGAAGCACTTGCCGAACCGCCTCGTCGACGTGTCTGCCGTCTGGCCCCCAAACCGTGGGAAACGACCTCGCTCAACGGGGTTTTTGGCATCAGCAGAATGAACTGCGCACCGCTAAAAGACGCTCAGCTGCCCGAGTTCCAGGGCGGCCGCGGAAGCGCCGGGGATTCCGACCCGTTTGAAGAGGTGGAGCCATCGGCTCAGCGGGATGTCGCAGGCCCTCAACAGCCCAGTGGCCCAAGCCCCGTCCAGGACCATCCGAATTGGTGGAGGTCTTGGACTTGGGGCCCCGAAGAATCCAAAGACCACTCTTCGGAAGCACCTCCAAAACGATCCGAAAAGAAGCGACCTGGACCCTATGGGATGAGTATGAATCGGAATTCTGGCACCAGGCCTAGGGCCAAAGGCAGAATATGATGATCAGACGAAGAAGGACAATTTTTTGGGTGACTTGCTTCACCACCTCACCAAGGCGCTTCGTGTGAGATTTGTGGAGTTTGTGGAACAGGTGCCGCCAGTTCTTCCTGCAGATGCTTCTTGGAGCTTCCCGGGCAGCTTCATGCATCAGTTTCTATTCCTTGTAACTGAAGCTTTGGGGATTCTTTCGTTGATGGCCAGTGCTCGACTCACCCACCTAACTATGTTCTGAACCAACGCCATTCACGTCGTCGGACGCGTCCGTAGCGTTGGCTCCGTGTCGGTGGCGCCGCTCCGCCGCCATGGCGCGGGAGCTGAAGACGGCGGCGCCGCTGCTGGACGCGGCCGAGCGCGGCGACGAGCCGCCGGAGCTGGTCCGCGGGCCCTTCACCGGGGGCGATGGGCGGCCGAGTGAGCCGGAGCGGAGGGGATGGGATGGGGCAAGGAGGATCTGGATGAAGATGGGAGAGGTGGATAAAGTGAAGGATCGGTGACTTGAGAGGTTTCAGTGAAGACTTGTGAGGCCGTACATGAGAAAAGAGGCGGACCTGTGTCGACACCAGTCTTTGAAGCAGAGCAAGGACATGAAGTGACTTGGGCAGTCTGACCGAGAAACTCGTAACATGAGGTGGTGAGATGGGTGCCTTCCGCACCCACATGGGATCTCAAACGTGGGGCATTCCATGAGAAAATTCCGAGCCCTTCACCCCCCAAATCGCCGGATCCCTTGAGCTCGATTCTGGCGCCGCCCATTCCCTCCAGGAGAGGATCCAGATCATGATTCAGGCAGCGCCTCCTCCGCCCGAGAACCTGGCACCCACGACCCTGAGCCAATCGCTGCTGCACTCCATGGCCGACGCACCCCTGGGCGGCTCCAACGAGGGTCCACTGGCAGGCCTCAGCTCCGAGGAGGCGCAAAGGCGTTTAGCACAGTACGGCCGGAACGAGATCCCCGAACATGTGCCTCAAAGGCACCTAGAACTGTGCCGCCGGGCCGCCGGGGGGAGCCAGGTGCCAGGGCACTTTCATGTGCTGTAGAGGGCGTTTCAGAAGCACAACCGATCTAGAATGCGTCACGAACCGAGAATTTTCTTTCCGTTCTGACGTCGCATTGCAGGGTATGGCTGGAAAAGAGATGATCCGTGCGCGAGAGTTTTCCTCATTCCAAGGTGGAACCGTGGTACGTGATGCTTGGGAAGCAATTTGTCGGCATGATGCCTGGCATGCTCATCATCGCGGCCATTCTTTCTGGGATCTCGAGAGACTGGACAGACTTCGCCGTCATCACCTTGATGCTCATCGTGAATGCCACTCGCCACGATGAGCTCAGGTGAACCAAGTTCCACCCAAATGAATCGAAGTGGGATTTCTGGATTGCTCATCCAGACATTTATCACTTGAAGAGGCCAGCTGCGGGATATGCAAGGTTCCCAAGCGGTGGTTGATTTGGAAGATGACCTTCCTGCAAGTGGTGGGGTCTGTGTTGGCACCGTCAGCAACTAGAATCTATATACTATATAGACACTAAAATATACAAAAATGAGATACTGTAATCAAATGCACAGATCAGCATTAGACCCTGGCTCTCCCAGAAGGCCACCCTGACAACGTGACTGACCCTATTCCACCAAGAGCCTATCCAAGTTTCAGCTGAATCCGCACCTTTTTCACCGCCTGCGACCGCCGTCTGTGAGGCGTTGATTGGCTTCCATGAGGAGTTCAAGGCCAGACAGTCCTTGGACGCCCTGAAGGCGCAGATGACCGCCACCGTGCCGGTGAAGAGGCGGGAGGACGATGGAAGCGCAGTGCCCCAGGTGAAGCGGTGCACTTGGGGCTAGAATGAAGCTCCTAAATGGGCTTCCTCCATGGATTTCCGACCTGTTTCCGTGGAATTGCCTTTTAAAGTGAGCCTTTCTCGAGGGATGGGAGCATGATGATCGTCCCCGTGGCCGAGCTAGTCTCGGGAGACGTGCGCCTTGGTGCTGCTGTGCCTGGGGCAACGGGATGGGATGGGACGAAAGGAGGACGATAGATACAGTAGAGGCCTCCGCTGTCACGATCCCATGGAAGCTGAGAAGAAATCACCACCGTGGTGGTTTCGACCATTTTCGGAAGTTCCCGTCGTCCGAATTGCAGGGTCACGCGGGACTCCTAAATTAGAGGGGCCAGACGGTTCGTTCGGGATCCCTACATGAACCTGATGCGCGTTTACCAGGAGGAATTTGGGGGAAGTGAAAAATTTTTCAAAAGGAGTTCACTGCCTCAGTTCCTAAGAGTCCGAGAGGTTCGCTGAGGATCTTCCTTGATCTCATTTCAGCGCAGCATGGTCGTCTCACCCCAGTAGCTTGCTCCCCGCTCGCATTTCGTGAGGATCTTCCTTCGAGGAGGCAACATTGTTCCAGCAGATTGTGAGTTCCTCGAGGCGCAGATTGTATATAATGATAAGATCTGAATGGGGCCTTTAGAGAGCCTCAGAATGGGTCACAAGTCACAACACAGGAGATACCAGATGATCCATATGATCGGCATGCCCAAAACCTTCCACACTCCTCCCAAACTTGCGCACCTCCCAAACCCTATAAGCTACCAGCCCTCTTCGACACCCTTGCGGATTCCCTTGTCCAAACCCCTCCAACTCCTCCCCCCCACCACGACCTCGCGCGTTCCAGCTTCGCTTCCGGAAGGGTCGACCCGACCCCGACCCCCGAACCCGACCCCGCTTCCGCCAGGGCGACGAGATGCTGGTGGACACCGCGGCGCTCACCGGCGAGCCGCTGCCGCGGAAGGTGCCGCGGCCCGACCGGCCGGATGAGCCGCAGGGCGCCGGGAAGATGCTCCTGTCGGGATGCATCGTGAAGCCGCTTGGAGAGGCTTTGGAAGGGGACTTGCGCCAGGGGGGGGGGAGATGGGGAGAGGAAGGATGGGGATGATCTGGGAGTGGGGTTGCAGGGGTGGAGAGGTGAGCAGCTCATGGGACGAGTGAATTGAGTGAAGATGTTTTTGTCGAGTAATTAAGCAACCTGAGCAACCTCAGTTCAGGCTTGCAGGCTTATAGGTTAAGAGCAACTATGGGGATGACAAGTCGGTGCTTCTCACCTATGTAGAAGAGGAGTGAGCCTTGGAGAGAGGAAAGGGACGCAGGCAGCTCTTGCCAGGTTCAGCTCGAGAATCTCGGTTGGATTGATTCATGCCTTTTCCAAGTGCTAAGGCAAGGTGAAGCACATTGTGAAGTCAAGGAGACCGGCCTCAATACTGAGATTGGCCAGGAGCCGGGGCTGGCAAACATCAGGGAAGTGGTGGATATCGATAAACGAGTTCCTATGAGCTAAGCCTACAAAGAGAGGGGAGAGAGAGAGAGAGAGAGAGAGAAATTGAGGGGGTCCCATTGAAGGATCGAAGGGGACTAAATATGCAGCAGCAGGAGTGTTTGACACCAGTAAGTTTTGAAACTCAGCAGAGAAATTCAGGTCCAAATGCATAACCGTGATACCTCCCCTTTCCAAAAGTGTTTCATGGCCTGCAGGGCAGTCCTCCGTTTGATCAACTTCACAGGTTGAGAGTCATTCCATTAGATGAAGCTCAATGTCAATAGTAGAACCTCTTCCTCTCATTGTCCTTCTCCTCAAAGATTCACACCCTAAACCACCAGCGGCCAGACTGGCGCCGTTTCGAGGCCGCAGGGCTGGTCGCTGAAGCCTCTGGACACCAAGCCAGCATGTTCGAATCCAAGATCATGCAGGCCACCGGGGGGCCAGTCAGACGGTCGGATGGCTTACGCATAGGTTGCCCTGGGCTTTTGGGTCCGAGGCGACGCGGTCGGTGGTTCTTCCGACCTGGGAGGCTGGGGAAAGACATGCATTAGTTGCAATACACAAGGTTTTGCACATTGTTACGCCAACATGGAGTATATTATATATATGATTTTGTTTGATGATGTGCAGCTGAATTCTCATTTTCTATATACTGTACATTCGGAATTCTCGATGGACTGTGGAGGTTGAGCCGACAAACAAACACTGTAATGAAATAACCACATAAGGGGATAAGGGGATATAACTATAACCACATGACGTACTGCATCCCAAAAAAGACCGTGAACAAGCACCATGAAGTTATTATGTATATAACTCAGTCCTTTTGCCGTATGTGGTTGCTTGCGTGCAACGCCTTTGTTGAACCTCCCTTTACATCCCGCTGATGTTTTGAGGTGGTTCATGCGGTGATCCTCCTCTCCCTGGTGGACGCGGGGGTGGTGCTCTATGTGGATGTGGGCCACAGATCCTCTCTTGAGAGGAATGTGTGGGGCAGCGTTTCTCAGGTGGTCTTTCACAGACACGTCCAAAGTGGTATAGTCCTTCCAACACTGAGGCGTGCACCCACCTCAAAGCTTTGCATTCTTTGGCAGGCTCACGCGGAGTTGTGCTACTCTTGGGTGCTCGATAGCACCTTTGACTCGGGCTGCAGTGGCTGCAGACCACTAGCTTGGTGGGTTTGAAGGGTGCTTTATCCCATTCTTTCAACCCTGAGCTTCCCTCCACCACTCTCCTAACACCCACGAGTTCTGACAGATCAGGACCTACCCCTCCCACCACATCGAGCCCTCTTCGAGAAGCACCACGTCTGACGGTCCGCCGTCGGCCAAGGAGGCGTCCGCTTTTCACATGCTTTGCTCAACGTCTTAGCTTTAGTCATTGGTGCAGTGCCCATTGCCCTGCCCTTGGTGATGCAGGCGGATGTGATCGATGACCGGCACCGATGTGCGGATCGTTGTGATGTGCCGATAGATAGCCAGTAGATGGTTGATGAACAAAAAAACCAACCGTTTTGATTGTAAGACCTCTCCACGTGGTTCTTATATAACCATTTCTCACCAGCCTACATTAGGCCTGGAAGTGGTCACATTGCGTTTGTATATCCCACGAGTTGATCCAAGCGCGATCAAGACAGACCGCTGGGCAGCTGCTTGTGACACTGGGAAGGCCGGAAGGCTTGTGACACCCGACTTGACTAGATGCCAAGGGGTTTCGGTTCCTAGCTGCCTGGCTGTCCGAGTTCCTCGATTTCATCCTCCACAATGGCACTTAGAAGATCTTAGAAGTGAACAATGCCTCCTTGAGCAGTCATCCCGCATATCTACTCTGCGCTGGCCATCGTGCAGGTGACGATGGCCATCGGTGCGGCCAGCATGGCCAAGCGCCAGGCCATTGTCACGCACCTCACGGCGCTACAGGAGATCGATTCTTAGCTGCGTATGGCGCGCCATGCGCGCCGGCGGTGGTTTTGGCCGCGGCCGGTTGGGCCTGCTTTCCGCCCAAGTAAGGACTACAGGGGGGAAGTACTTGGAGGCCCAAGAGTTGAGGCACCACCCAGTGACAAGCATGATGAATCATGGTCAGCTCATGACTTGTCATCGTGCTGCGCTTCGCTTTTTTGTGCACAATTGAAGTTGAAGCAGCAAAAGACTAACAGCCAGTTTGGTTGTCTCTTGATCATTCTTCATCTATTATATAAACTATCTTAATCATTAATCAATCTGTATAATCTGTATTACTTCTGGCATTGAGAATTAAGTTTATGAAGCAACGCATAGTGACGTGCCCCCCAAAGGAAAAGATTACTGTAGATAGATCCTCCAAGTGATTCTCCTCTTGACGCTTCTTTCTGTCCATTGGGGTTCGCTCCTCATCCTCTGTCGCGCCAACGAGGCCTCCATGACCGTGCTGTGCAGCGACAAGACGGGCACCCTAACGACGGCGGACATGCGGGTCTTGCCGCACCGGACCTGGACCTGCAATCGCACCACGACGCTTGGACCCAGCAATGCTTTTGGGCGCACGGATGGCCACAGGGAGGCGCAGGGGGTGTTTTTTTTTGGGGTGCCGAAACCGTCCAAAAGCCCACCCAGACAGACAGGCCTTTTCCGGGAACTTTCCGTCCGACTGGGTGGACTGTTCGGACCTTCGTGGGTGACACTTCCAGTTCTCCGGTTGCACTAAGCTGCCCCCTTGTTGGCAGATGTTGGCAGCTTGAAAGCCCAGATCCAACGGCGGGTCGGCCTTTTTCGGTGAGGACCGGGAGGTCGGGAGAGACCGTCGAGCCTACGCCCAGGAAGGACGAGGCGCTGCTGTACGCCTGCCTGGCGTCGAATCCCGCGAACAAGGAGGACCCCATTGACAAGGCGCCCGAGCCGACTGGTCTGGTGTTGAGAACTCTTGGATGTTTCTTGGGACATGCCGCACGCGATCATCAAAGGGTGTATGCACCTATGCAAGACTACGTAGCACCAGCACCAAACGACTGGTTTTGTGGAGATTAACGCGCAAAGATGCAGGCCATCCTGGGCTCTGGCCATGAGCACTTTGGAGACGCTTGGATGCAGATGGTCAAGAGCCCTAGGGCTCCAACCATATCCTCAGAAGGTGGTTAGAGCCCCCTGGCACCCACCTGAACCGCCTTCTCAGGAGGTAGTAGGGTTTCCCTGGCAGAGGTGGAGTTCACGTGACCGTTGCCGATGTATTTTGACGACGGACCCTGCTTGGTGACGAAACAACGTACAGTTACCTTCTTGACGGTGACGAACAATGCTTTTCGGCCACACGATGGTGAGGTAACTTAGAATGCATGCCACATGTCTTCATGGATGGATCAGGAAGAGGAGGCGGACAAGCTCATGGCGATGTACAAGAAGGGCAAGTTCGTGGGCTTCAACCCCACGGTGAAACGCACCGTTGTCGGCTTTCTTTGCTTCAAGCAGAGTTTTGACCCTTTTACAGTAAAGCCTGCCGTGACTTCCCAAAACAGCTTTCCAGGCGAGTTGAGAACAGACCCGGAACACATTGAGGTGTATTGCGAGCACGAAGAGAAGGGCAAGTTCAAGATCTCTAAGGGACTTGTCAACAAGGTCCTGATCACAGGAGACGATGGTGGAGACTGTTGGGAGTGTGTGGATGCCGACCCTTGGACCTAAGCGTAGATGGGCACCGTTACGTGGGTGGCGCGTCACTTTCCCATCAAAAGCTGTATTGCTTGGCCAGCGCAGGAAGATGGTCACTCATGATGGTTGGGCAGCTTTTGGTAACACCCCGAGTCGCTCCCGAAACTTCATGACGACCTCCTGGAGTGCATGGTGTCTAAGGACAAGTTGAAGGAGGAACTGAACGAAGTCGACATCCGCTTCTCCTCCCAGGGGTACAAAACAGTGGCTCAGCTGCGTCTTGCGTGCTGATTGGAGTAGTTTCAGAAACCCAACCTGGAAGGCAGAAGCGCGGCATGTGAGGCGACTGAAGACACTATAGACTGAAGACTGAGTAGGTAGACAACAGGGTCGGTCCGATTCGCCCTGGATCGAGACCGCTTTTTGATGCCCCACTTCGAGGATTCACCTTGAAGCCAAAGCAGGGCAAAAAAGAGTCGCTTTTCGTGTGAAGGCCTTTTCTTTTAGGAGTGTGTCAGATTGTGTTAGAGGCAATTTTTTTTCGTGGAGAGTTTTTCTTCATTTCTTCCGTGGCTGATGCATCAAAGCATAAATTGAACACCAAACACCGAAACACCAGCAGCTTCTAAATTCTTGAATCCAGTCTCCCCCTCCGTGGCTGTTGATATTTGTTGATGCGTTCAACAGCCGCGTTCTCTGACACCATGACTGACGAGTCCTGGTCACCGGGACCCGAGGTGGGCCTGGCGGTCTCGCACAACGAGGGGCCGATGCAGTTCGCAGCGATCATCCCCATGTTGGATCCGCCACGGGGCGACACCAAGCTCACGATCCACCGCATCCGGGAAGCGGGCATCAACGTGAAGATGATCACAGGCGGGGCGCCGAGCTGATCTTGCTTCGGCAGACGGCCAGAAACGACGTCATGCCGAGGAACGCGGGGCGGGGCGGTCGGCGCCCTTGAGCGATGGGATGTTATGGGCTTTGGAAAGATGGGGTGGTGTCACTGGAAGTCAGCCAAAGCAGAGCCGGAAGGGCAGGTGCGTTCATTCCTGGTTTCAGGTGTTGAGATTTCGGAGATCGAATGTGCAGAATGCCTTTTTAGGGGTGTGGTCCTAAGTTAGGGAGAGGATGGGAGAGGAGGCCTTTTGTTTAGCTGTCCTGAGTTTTCAATCAGTTCTTAGGCAGACTTGACATGTCTCCAGCACCTTTCCTTCGACGTCGCCGCGGCGTCTTTGGACTGTCACCGGCTCACCGCGCGGTTCGCTGCGTGCCCCTCACCGGCTCACCACGGCCGGAGGTGATCACCTGAACATCGCCATCGAGACCAGTCGCCTGATCGGCGCCTCGATCCAACTGGGCCACGTTGGGGGCCTCACCATCTGCAAATTATTGATATTTATTAGTTTTACCGTGCGGTAGGCCGGTAGGTCATTTCTTGGACAGATCTTCCGCCACACTGGCTGTAAGATCCAAAAAGCTGGCGAGCTATGTGTAAACTACTGGGCTGGCTTGGCCAAACAGTATCATGCGTTTCCTTCACAAGAGTCATTCCTGTCCAACGTTGGGACAGGGGTGTTTGTTCCGATTCACCTCTAGGCTGGTTCCTGGCGGGGTTGATCACCCCCAGGCTAGGTTCATCTCCAACCAGTGGTCCATTTCTGTTCATGTTCGTCCACCCAGGTAGCCCCAGTGCCAGGACCTCGCAGTTCTCGTTGGATCCTTTGGTGCTTTCTTCTCATCTCCTCCAAGGCCTTGGCACCCACGTCCTTCCCGCCAGTGAGCTGTGGCCGGCCTCCGCCACGCGGGACGAGACCATCGTCACGGCGGACGGCTTCGCGCAGGTGCTGCCCAAGGACAAGCGCGAGGCACCAGGAGGATGTGGGGGAAGCGCGAGGTGGTAGAACGAATCCTTTGGGAGCCCATCAACAAAATAAGACAGGAGGAGGAAGATGAGGAAGCAACTTAAGACTTAAGACCAACTCATAGCACAGGGCTGTTTTTGGTACCCGCCCAGGGTCGGCCTCCCACTTTCACCTTCGCAGCCTTCGCAGCCTTCGCGGTGACCCCCCCCCACCCCCCACACATTTCGACCCTGGCCTCCAGACCCCGCCCTTCGCAGTGTCCGAGGTGATCTTGGTCTTGCAGAACCGCGGCCTGGTGGTGGGCATGACGGGGGACGGCGTCAACGACGCCCCGGCCCTGGCGCAGGCGCAGATCGGCATCGCCGTGGACGGTGCCACCGAGGCGGCGCGCAGCGCGGCGGCGGCTCGGTGGGTGATGGGGAGGTGAAGATGAAGGGAAGAAGTCCTGGTCCTAGTCCTTGTGTACACCACCAGTATTTTTGGAATAAGACTTCTTGAGAATTCGGATCAGTTCAGCTGGGAGAGGTGCCAGGAGATTGAAGATCTTTGAACTACCTTTGATCTGTGTGGGTGAGTCCGCCATCCTGCTCAAATATCATCAATCCGTGATGATCTCCCATGGCCCATGGCTACATGACTACACTACGACTCGCTAACATGGAAGTGGAAAAGAGCCTCCTTCCAGGGGCCCATGTTGTACATGTGATGTGTTCGTCAAGAAGTGTACATCATCCGCCTCCAAGGGGGCGTATGAACAAATCAAGGCCCATTTGACTTGGAAGTCCTCTTCATATGAGTGGTTCGACTCATCAAGAGTCGACCTTCATTCATGCCCCCTTAAATGAGGTTGGCTGGTGTTTCCCGAGGACATCATCCTCACCCAGCCGGGCCTTTCGGCCATCTTCGATGCCGTGGTGGAGTCGCGGAAGATCTTCGCGCGGCTCCGGTCGTACGTGCTGCGCCTGGGCGGTCTAGGGTCGCCCATCCGGACCGAAAAGGGGGAGGGACACGGCTCTGGTGGGCTCAGGTGCCGTACATGGCCAAGGCCCGGTCGAATCCTCATGGGTGGAATCCCGGAAAGACCGCCGCGGCCGATGGTCGGCGCGGAGAATTCGCGGAGAATTCCTTTCAACGAACTGTGGCCTTATTGTTGGTATTTGTAAGGACCCCCTTTAGGGAGGTTGTAGAGCCCAATGCGCAATGTTGACCGCAAGAACACATGTTCGCCCCAAGGTACAGGATAGGAGCGACCATCCAAATTGTGCTGGTCCTGTCAATCCTGATCTATGCCTACAATGACACCATGCCCGCGATTTACGTGATTTTGTTGGCGCTGGTGACTCCCAGCTGCAGCATTAATAAATGTGCTTCGGGATGCTTGGGGCACGTGGGGTGTGCCTTTTCTGGTTTGGACCGCGTCTGACCATGGCATGTTGGGATCATCCTCCAAGTTGTGCTGTGGGTGGGCCCAACCGAAAGCGCTGAGGAACGATGTGACGATGTTGCCCGTGGCCAGCGACAATGCCTCCCCCTCCGCGTTGCCGGAGATCCCCTCGATGCCGCAAATCTTGTTTCTTAGCCTGTGGGCCAGCGTTGTGTGGCGTGTTTAGCGCAGAGAGAGAGAGAGAGATGTGGGACCCGCTCTCCAGCACTTGAACTGAAAAAATTCTTATATATAGCCTATAGCATGACTGCAAATCACCAGTCAACATCCATCACTTCCTTCACTTTGGTCTTTGGATGTCTTCAAGTCAGGGTTGATGAACGACTGTTTTATGGAGCATCAATTTTCATTATCCAAGTTGGGTCTGACTCGGTCTGACCGTGGAGATCCTGGCCCATAGGGTGTCCTTATACCCGCCCCCTAGAAGTCCAAAGACTATTTTGCCCCCCGTGGAAACTCCTTTTTTTGCGGGTCACCTAAAAGGACAAGATTTTAAAACAAGTCTTGGACCTCCAGGGTGTTGTGACCTTGTCCTCACCAGGTTGGCGTCCTTCCTGTATGGCTTCATCGGCACCGGTCAAACCATGGCCCTCTACCTCTCGGATGTGCTCCACTCGGATCCCTCCATGGACCCCGAGGCGGGTGAACAGCTGCAGACCCGCAGAAAACAGCTTGCAGGGCGGGCAAGACGAGACTCGGGTGGTTTTATATAGAGAGAGCTGCATTTGGCCTGCATTTCAAGAGATGCTCCAATATGTGCCCAGTCCAAACTTCAGATGGTGCACATCAAGGGAGTAATTAGTGAAGAAAGTGCGATCTGAAGACCTCCTCCACTTACAGGAGCAGACAGTGTAGATCTCCGCTTAGAAGGTGCAGATTGCAGCCACTCACCATGCTTTTGGCACCCGGGCGCATCTAATGGGTCTGCATCCCACACCTGCGGCAAAAACCGCGTGCTCCGACCTGGGCAGGAGAGGCGCCAGTATCGGATGGCGGTGACCTATTTGCAGATGTCCATCGCGGTGGAGCTCAACATCTTCTCCTGTCGCACACCGCTGTATGTGGCGAACCTGCTACGCCCAGCGCCTCGGTGACGATTCGGGGGCCGTGCGGACGAGGGTAGGAAGATGCGCCCTTCCAAGGGAATGCCTTATTGAATGTGTTGAAGAGGGTCAAAAAGCTGGGAAGGTTTTTCTTGGGGGGTTGGATGGGCTGTGCTTGATGGCACGTGACGGAACGCCCCTGCGTCCTCATGCCCAGGTCCAGGTTGAAGCTGGGGCCTACTTTCGAGGGACGTTCCACCCACTGCCAGCCTAAACTGTACCGAATGAATTCTGCATGTGTGATGATGGGTGCAATTTTCAACGGAGCCTCAGGATCCTCTTGGCCTGAAGGAAAATCAAACTCACATTGTTTGAGTTGCTTACTTCTCCCATGCCTGCGCGATGCCTAGCCGAGCAGCAGCCGCAGCCGAATCGGCTGCCTGACGCATCGTAAACAACCGGTACCCAGGAGACCTGGCCTTCGCTCTTGCTCTTCATTTGCGTCATGGGCGGGAACCTGCTGGTCTCCCTGCTCGCAGGCTTTGGCGACACGTTCCATGTGGTGCACAAGGTCGAGCCTTGGCGTGTGGAGCTGGGCTGTTCGGAGCGAGTGGGGCGAGATGACGGTCCCGACCCTCAGAAGCACGGTCCAGAGACCGGTGATCGGGAAAGTCTCCCGAGAGAGGAGCTCCACATATCAACTTATCAACTTATCAACCTCCGTCCACCAACCACTGAGGGTTTTGGATCAAATCATTTGGATGGGTTGGGGTTGTTTCGTCGATTCCCTCCATTTCCCCCTCCTGACACACGCGTGCACACCACATGTGTCAGCGGCCCTGCTTCTTGCTGACTGAGGAGTGGGTGGACATCGTCTGGTTTGGGGCTCAGCCGGGCTCAGCTGGGTCGGATAGTGAGGGACAGAGTCCTCCAGGGATGTTGAAACATCATCGAGACGAAAGCCATCGAAAACCGAACCTCACAAAGGGTGTAGGGCAGGGTGACTGTGGAGATGCCAACGAAAAGGGGGTGCCAAGAATCAATCACCTCTTTGGCATTCGATTTCATAGTGCCATCCACGTTGGCCCATGATGATTTCAGGGAGTGGAGCCTTATTTATGCCTTGTGGTGTTGGGATGTGTTGGGTTTGTCCTATTACCTGTGACAGTCGGTCAACAATTATATACATTATTATAACTATTTAGAGATGTCGGCCTGCAACTGAACCATCATCCACTTGTACTGGTCATGGGGTATACTGCCATACCATGTGCATCTTGCTGTTCGCAGAAACCGACTCTGCAAGGATTTGGGTCTACGACATTGGTTGCTTGCTGGTGATCGACTTCCTCAAGCGCTTCTTGCATCTGGGACGGAAAAGGCCCCAAATATATAGGCCGGTCGACCGGTGCAAAGCGGACCAGATCCATGTCCAGTTGCCATCCGTATTCCACATATCCATGGAGAAAACACACACATTTGTGCCTCAAAAAATTAATCTCTCCTCGAAGTGGTGGGTTTCTCCAATCTCGCCCACGCGTCCGATCGTGCCCGTCGCTGGCTGCGCCTCGTGGGGGGGGGAGGGACCTGGCTGCGCCTCCAGGTCTGGCAGGTCCCGATTCGCGTCGGGGGGGGTGGTGGGAGTGAGTCCGGGAGTCAGGAACAAAGATAAGCAAGTAACGTTGAGAAACTGGCGGTTCAGACACTAAGGCATACTAACAACCCACTGGTTTGGTGCGAAAGTATACTGAACAGAGATGGGAGTCGAACATGGTCACGAGTTGGTTTCTCCTTCTTGGATCCGTTCTTTGTTTCGCCGGACCCCTCGCTGTTCACGAGCAGAGGCTCGCTGAATTCGTGCAGTCTGGTGAGATCGGAGGAGGGTCTTTTTCAGTTCCCCCGGCGGGGAAGCTCCGCGATCCAAGGAATGTGATTGGTGCAGTGTCTGGGTGGCAATTGTCGCTGTATCTGGGTGCATCGGTCTCTGGTTTCGTGCTTTGCCAGGTGGGCGATGATAGGGCGAGTGGAGGGGCATCCGGACCGAGACGAGTAGCAGTGAACAGTTTCATCAAAATGCTTCTAGGCTTTGGGCTCCAGCATTGATGGACTGCCGCCGATTTGTGCATGTTGGGGCTGTCGCCCTGCCAAAGTAGTGGCCAGTCGGAGAGTCGCACTGGAGAGGAGGACGGTCGTCATGTAGATCAGTTGTTAGTGGTTTAGCAACAGATCGTGTTTGTGAGGATTGGATGTCTGCTGGTGCTGTTGGCGACGTCCTTGGGTATCCCAATTTGCCGGATGAGTTCCACGGCGCTAGCCATCGCTCGACTCTGCTGCACAGCAGAGCCAGCGCAAGGACATGTTATCTTTTTGCCGGAAGGGCGTGGCGAGGGTTGGGAGCTCTTGTTGCGTCAGAAATATCTGGATAGAGGGGATGTACATATCCAAGATTGACTACACGAAATGCTGGTGCCTTCTTCTCTGGATCCAGCGGGGTCTTCGACACAACACCCTCAGCCTCCGCTCGCAGCCTTTGTGGTTCAAACAGTTTTTGGGCTGTCCTGGCGGAGGCACCGCATTCTCTTTGAATGATGCTGAATGGTTGGCAACAACGAAACTACTACAGTCATGAGTCATGAGTCATTCCAATGACTTCAGAGCGCCCTGCAGCGACGCAATTCATGTGTTTACTTTATTTTTTGTTTCATGCCACATCCTGTGATGCACCCTGTTTCATAGGGACCCCCTGTTTCATAGGGACATCCAAAGAGCAAACGAGTAGATTGCACCGAAGTGATTGTTGGTGGTTCAGCTCCAGTCCCACCGTCGCCATCGGCAACAGTGGGGCACCTCGCCATCGGCGTTTGCTTCTGCGTCTTGTTTGGGCACGATGAAAGTCGGCCAAGGGTTGAGGCGGCAGAAGACTGTTGAGAACCTTCGGGCACTTCAATACGCTCCCCACTTTTTGTCCTTCTTACTGGTGGGTGCCGGCTGCGGATTTCTGTTGGTGAATGCACTCTACAATGCCATGGCCAACGAGCCGGAACTGGAGAAGGATGGGAAGACCTTCGGGCAGTTTTCCATCATCCAAGGAGCTGTGGGCCTGGCTTCCGGACTTCTATACCTTTTCTGGAATTTGAGATGTCCACACTGCCTCACCATGAGACAAGAGCAGGTGGGAGTCTCCATTCTCATTCTCTCAAACGTGATCGCTTTCTTGATTCTCTCAGCCTTTTGGTCAGTGGGCGCGCCGGACTATCCGGTCTTTGTGGCTGGGGCTGCTGCTGCACAAGTGATTGGCAACTTCACCATTTATTTGCTTTTCCCCATGGTGTCCACTTACTACGCCGGCTGGCTGGTGGCCCCGGTGCGTGCCGGAACGGACGTGAGCAGCCTCATCACGAGCCTCATCGGGCAAGCGCAAAATCCGGATCCGGGGTCTGGGCATCTGAACTTCTCGATGCCTGGGCCTTTGCTTCGAAGACGTTGTCGGTGTTTTCTTTTTGGTGTGAAGGATTTTAACTATATATATAGTATATATATATATAATATCTTAATTGCCCTATTGGAAGATCCAGTTGTTTCTGGTTGTTTGGGGTTTCAGGGGGGAATTGGTTGGGGTGTTGGGGTGAGGAATTCCAAGAGATGGTGGGTCTCAAGACTTTTGAGACTCCTTCAAAGATCAATGCATGAGTTTTACCATATGCCATACATGCAGTAGATAGCGGCGATATCCAATAAAGGACACCTCCATCTTGGGGATTGTCCGATAGAATCGCTATCTCCAATGTTATTGTCCAATCCACCCCGAGGATCGGCACGCTCTTCTTCATCTATGCCATCTTCTCCGTCTGCGGCTTGGGCGCCTGGGCCAGCATCATGTACTTGGGCACCGGGCTGCGCTACGAGATTGACGACGAGGGCACCGTGACGCTCTCCGAGAGCGAGGATGAGTCCGACGAGTCCAGGACCTGGGAGTCCGATGAGTCCGAATGCCGAGAATTCCACGTGGCCAACGGGCGGAACAGCGGAAGACGGTTCTACTGTTCTGCGCGGTTCGTTTTTTTCTTTCCCTCCTCCGAGCTTGTGATGTAGGTGTCCCGAACCCCCCAAGACCACGTAATTGATCTATAGCGAGCAGTACCAGACGAGTGGTTTGGGGGAAAGCCGGGGGAACCCACAAACAGACAGTTGATCCAGTTTTCCTTGGTTGGCCAGTTGCTCGTGGCCCCGGAGCAGTTCGGCTGACCGCCTGCAGACCGTTCTTCGACCAACGCCACCCCGCATCATCCCAAAAGAAGGACCACAGGAACCTGCCTGACCCCGCCTCATCCCCCCCAAAAAGACTCGTCAAATTCGTGCACCAAGCCTCTCTTTCACGTCCAGGTGAGGCCTCACTACGGCTGCTTGGATGGCTTGGCGTGTCCTCGACAGCTGCTGCTGCCAGTGGTCCTGGCCACCTTAAGTCAGGTGGCCCAGTGGGGCATCGCGGCCTCGCTGGGGCAGATCGGCGCCGCCATGACCGACCCGGTCGGCTGCCACGGACACCAGGCGGGCACCAGGGGTCCAGAGGGTGGCGAGTCAGGGTGGACGGAGGGGGGGTTGGAGGTACAGAAAACACACCAGACAGGTACACGGCCTGCTTGGGGGGGGAATGGGAATGGCCGCTCTTGAAGGGGAAGTTGATGCTCTAATCCACAGATCCAAAGTTCTGGGTGGCTTTTGGAAGCATGTTCTTTGGGATGCCCATTTAGAACACAGGGGAGGCAAGTTGCACAGAACCACTTCAGTAAGAAACCTCACCCCAAAACAAGACCAGGGTTGGATCATGTTGAGCTTTTCTTCCTTTCCAATGCTTCACATACCTGTAGCCGTCAGAATGTGGCTCCAAACATGTTCGACCTTTTCCTTTGCACCTGTGCAGCGGTTTTCCGGTGGTATGCTCGTTCTTCGCCCAACATTGTCCACCATCCACGCCACGGCTGTTTCACCCTGGAAAGGGGAAACGGGTCTACCGCTACGCTTTGACCAGCTCAATGATCTCCGTTCCCATCGGCTCCATTTTGTCCACGGCATGGAACTGCCCCCGGTCGATCTTCAATGCCCTGAGCTGCGTGCAGCTGTTGGCGGCTGCGGTGGTGGGATCGGACGCTTGATCTTGGATAAGCAGGGAGAGAGGTTTTTTGTTGGATGAGACTTGTCCGTTAGAAATGCAAGTGAGATACTATATCTCTCAATCGCAATGGTGGCAACCGAAGTCCACAAAGCGTCCAAGCAACAAAGTAAAGCGCACCTTTATGGCTGCGAGTGTCGAGGTCGTAACGCGTATGGATCAAGGGCCCTTCGGACAAAGATGCGACGGAAGTCGCTCAACTGGAAAACATGACACCTCATGACAGGTGTACAGCAAAATGCATTCGCATGTTGACATAGGCCAAAGCTTTTTATGGCCATCGAAAAACATTCAAAATTCAAGCCCTTCTAAGACCTGTTCAGGTCACTTCGAAACTCCCATGCTCCGCAAGCATGGTCAGGAAGAACGGTGGCTGTCCTTGTCGGCAAGGTGGTTTCTCCATCAAAACTCAGCTTCGTCTGGACCATCTTGTCCTTGATCTCACCTTTCTCATTCAGGAACTGAAGGCGGTTGATCCTCTCCAGGGATTCAATGCGAGCCCTCTGCCTCACAATGCGCTGATTGCAATCAGCAAGGAAGCAGATGTTGTCATTCCACATCCGGTGCCATTGGCGCACCTGGTCATCCGAGAAGCCTTGAGTTCGATCTGTTTTCAAAAGCTCTCGGAATTTCCGCCAGCGCTGGGTCGTGTAGCCCTCGGTGGTCAGGATGAGGCGTGTCTGATCATCCAAGGCGCTGTTCTCATCATTCAAATCTCTCAACAATTTCCTCCAAGCGCTGGAGCTGGGTTCATCTTCAACTTCTTTGAGAAGCCTTTTCCATCGGTTGTACTCCTCATCTTCAAGCTCGCTGTCAGAGTTGCAAGTCGAACTGCCGGTGTCGATGCCCGGTCTGTAGTCGATACCTGGTCGTCTGGAAAGGGCCAGGATTTGCTCCATCACCTCTTCACGATGTTGAGGCAAGGTGCGAGTTCGGTCATTGGTCTCGACCGTTTCTTCTTTTTCATTCACTTCATTCTTCTTCCACAGAACCATTGCCTTCTCGAGGAAGAGATTGTAGATCTTGTAGGTCATGTGCTCCAGGCCAATGCATGCAAAGAAAACCAAAACACCAACAGTGAGCCAAAAGCGAGTGCCCAGGTAGGACTCAGGGATGTGCTCATCGTTCTCGGTGGGGCTTCCTTCAACAACTGGCATTTCATTGGCAATCAAACAAGTTACAGCCGACATGGCTGCCGTTCTCCAAGCATCATGCCTTTGACCTTGTCGATGGGCATGGAGGTAGAAGTGGCGCCTGGAGCAGAACTTGTTCTTTGGATTGGAGGCATCACATGTTTTCTCACAACCAGGAAGGGCGCAGAGGTTGCCATCTTTCTCCTGAAGGGTGAAGATCTGGTTTTCGAAGATGTTTTTCGATGCCTCTTCATGTTCTTTTCTTTCAGCTTCTTTCTCCTCATAGGTGACCTTCTTGGCGGCGATGAAGTCCGGCTCAAAGCTCAGCTTGTGAGTTCCTCGGTTCAAGACATAGGCCAGGTTGTCTTTTGCTGCCGGCTTTGTCAAACCATCAGCTATTTGTTGCTGTGAGTTCACCCAAAACCATCGTCCATCAAGAGCTGACATTCGATCCTTCACTATCGCAACTTCGATTGCAGTGCGGCGTTCACTCAACTTCATGCCAGGGGTGATGCTTCGAGCAGCGTCAAACAAGGATCGAGCATCAGTGGCAAGTGGAGACGTGCCAAACTTCCTGAGGGCCTCAGTTGAACCAATGTCCAAGGTGGGGTCCACAACGCAAGCCATGAAGATCTTACTCCATTCAAGCTCGTCAACAGCTGCTGCGGCGGCCTGGGCTTCAGCAGACAAGGAAGACCTGCAAATGCGCTGCAACTTCTTGGACTGCCACTGGAGTATTGTCAGCGGCATTGGTTTCTCTGAGCTCAACTCTTCATGATTGCACAGGAAGACCAGCAGACCTCCCTGTGACGTTCCGTCAGGGCGAACTGCCCATGCAGCATCTGTGTATGCACCAATGCACAACGAAGAGATGTCGCCGTGGGCGTGGAAGGTCATCTTGTAATCCTTGGTCACATTCTTTGCAAATCTCAACAGCTTGTTGGCCTCATTGATGTCCTTGATCATGGGGCTGCTGGATGCTGACTGCAAGATGCTGACACTGGCACAAAGTTGTGGTACACATTGATGAGCTGGCCAGGCAAGTGCTCC